CTGTCTCCAAAATAAATAAATAATACAAATACAAAAAAGTTATCCATGTGTGCTGGCTGTGCATGTAGTCCCAGCTTCTCTGGGGGCTGAAGTGGGAGGATAATTTGGGCCCTGGAGGCGGTTGCAGTGAGCTCTGTTCATACCACTGCACTCCAGCTTGGGTGACAGAGGGAAAACCTATTTTTAAAAAAATGCTACGTGTAGCACCCTGGACAGAGAATTGTTTGAACCCCATGGTCCAGATAGGATTGTGGGATTTGGGGACCCTGTGACTGAGTGGCATCTTGAATGACAGGTTTCAAAACCATGCCTTAGGTCTGTAAAGATTTTTATTGATTCTCTTCATACAAGTCAACTCTGTTTATCCTAATTATTTTTGTTATTATTTTCTAAGAGACAGGGTCTTGCTCTGTTGCTCAGGCTGAAGTGCAATGGCATGATCATAGCCTCCACCTCCTGGCCTCAAGTGATCCTCCAACCTCAGCCTCCTGAGTAGCTAGGACTATAGGCGTGCTACTATGCCTGGCTAATTTTTTTTTTTTTTTTTTTTTTTTTTGTAGAGACAAGGTTTCATCAAGTTGCTCATGGTAATCTTGAATTCCTGGGCTCAAGTAATCCTCCAGCCTCAGCCTCCCAAAGTGCTGACATTATGGGTGTGAGCTATGGCACCTGGCTCTGGCTAATTAAAAAAATTTTTTTTTGTTTGTAGATATGGGGGTCTTGCTATGTTGCCCCATGGTGGTCTCAAGTTCTTGGCCTCAAGAAGTCTTACAGCCTAGGCCTCCAAGCCCAATCTAGTTTATCTTTACAACATCCCATGAGATTAAATATTAGGTCTATCAGGCAAAGGTGAACGGATCACACGGTCAGGAGATGGAGACCACCCTGGCCAACATGGTGAAACTCCGTCTCTACTAAAAAATACAAAAATAGCTGGGTGTGGCGGTGCTTGCCTATGAGTCCAGCAACTCAGGAGGCTGAGGCAGGAGAATCGTGTGAACCCGAAAGGTGGAGGTTGCAATGAGCTGAGATCATGCTGCTGTACCCCAGCCTGGCGACAGAGCTAGACTCTGTCTCAAAAAAAAAAAAAAAAGAAAGAAAAGAAAAATTAGGTCTATTTTGCAGATAGAGAAACTTGGGCTCTAAAAGGACCCTATGTTGCTGGGGATCCCATGCAAACCCCCCAACTCACTGCAGGTTGTTCTAGGCAGGGTACTTTCTACTGTCCAGAGTGACCTAAAATGCAAGTGGACGTCAGGGCAGCTCCTTACACAGTTCTGACTCAGCGCTGGCCTGAGCCCCTGCACTCAAAACGAAGAGGGTGGTGTTTTCCAGGCCAGCTCCGCTCAAGGGAAGGCTGTTGACTGATCGTCCAGTGACATACAGAGCATTCAGGGTGCATGTCCCCTTGGTCCTGGCAGCCTTTGCACATGTGACAAGGTTTCAGCTCTGTGGGACTGGAGTTGCAGTTAGACAGTCAGTTGTGGCTTTACTACCAGCCAGCTGTGTGACTCAGAGGTAACCTTCCAGAGCGGTAGGTTTCTCATTGATAAAACTGGATGGCGATGGGAGCGATGGCTCACACGTGTAATCCTAGCACTTTGGGAAGCCGAGGTGGGTGGATCACTTGAGGTCAGGAGTTCGAGACCAGCCTGGCCAACATGGTCAAAACCCTTCTCTACTAAAAATACAAAAATTAACCAGGCGTGGTGGTGTGTGTCTGTAATCCCAGCTACTTGGGAGGCTGAGACAGGAGCATGGCTTGAACCCAGGAGGCAGAGGTTGCAGTGAGCCGAGATCGTGCCACTGCATTCCAGCCTGGGTGACAAAGCAAGACTCCGTCTCAAAAGTAAATAAATAAAGCCAGATGGCATGTGGCACTGCACCTTAGGTCCATGGGTTGCAGGGAGGGCCCAGTGAGATTAGAACCATACATCAACTTGGACAATATGTCAAGAAGGCTGCCCTGTACAATTCACCATGAGGTAATGGAGAATTCCAGGCCATCTGCTGAAAACTGGCCAGTTATCGATTTTCTTTTTTTAATTAAAAAATTTATTATTTATTTATTTATTTATTTATTTTTGAACAGGGTCTCTGTGTCGCTCAGGCTGGAGTGCAGTGGCACAATCTCGGCTCACTGCAACTTCTGCCTCCTGGTTTCCAGCAATCCTCCTGCCTCAGCCTTTCAAGTAGCTGGGGTCATGAGTGTGCGCCACCACGCCCAGCTACTTTTTTAAGTAGAGACGGTGTTTCACTGTGTTGGTCAGGCTGGTCTCAAACTCCTGACCTCAAGGGATCCGCCCACCTCAGCCTTCCTGAGTGCTGGGATTACAGACATGAGCCAGCTTGCCTGGCCCAGTTATTGATTTTATTTATAGCTTGTTTATTTCAGATGAGGATGTAAGGTGTTTGCCAGAAAAGCTGAGGAACTACAATATCAAAATCAATGAACTCTCAGTTGTTTATTCAACAAATGTATATTAGAATGGTAACTAGGCGGCAGGTACTGAGGATACAGGAAACAGGTCTGGTTAGTGTAGGATCTGCCACGAGGTCTAACATGAAAAGCAAGAACAAAGCTGAGTGCAGCGGCTCATGCCTGTAATTCCAGCACTCTGGGAGGATCAACTCAAGTCTAGGAGGTCGAGGCTGCAGTGAGCTATGATTGCACTACTGCACTTCAGCCGGGATGGTATAGGGAGAACCTGTCTCAAAAACAAAACAAAATTCCTGTCAAGAATCTGATGAACAGTTATTTAAAAATCTTTGAGCAAACAATAAAAAAGGGCTGGGTGCAGTGGCTCACACCTGTAATTCCAACACCTTGGCAGGCTGAGGCAGGTGGATCATTTGAGGTCAGGAGTTCGAGACCAGCCTGGGCAACATGCAAAAAATACAAAATGTTTGTATTTTACTTAAAATACAAAAATTAACTGGGTGTGGTGATGCATACCTGTAGTGCTCAGCTACTCAGAAGGCTGAGGTGGGAGGATCACTTGAGCCCTGGAGGTGGAGGCTGCAGTGTTCTGAGATTGCACCACTGCACTCCAGCCTGGGCAACTGGAGTGAGATCCTATCTCAAAAATAAAATAAAATAAAATAAAAATAAAAAAATTAAAAAGGCAGAATCGTTCAGCTTCATGGCTCAGTTTATCAGGAGAAAGACTTTTTTTGTGTGGTTTCAAGAGGATTTCCTCATGGAAGAAGCATTTCAGTAAGGGGACTGTTGGACAACAGAACAAATGATCTTATTTTTTAATTTTTTAATTTTAATTTTAATTTTTTTTTGGAGATGGACGGAGTGTTGCTCAGTTGCCTCCAGTTTACGCGATTCTCCTCCCTCAGCCTCCCCAGTAGCTGGGACTACAGGCACCTGACATCATGCCCGGCTAATTTTTGTATTTTTGTAGAGATGGGGTTTCACCATGTTGGTCAGGCTGGTCTCGAACTCATGACCTCAGGCAATCTGCCCTCCTCGGCCTCCCAAAGTGTTGGGATTACAGGCGTGAGCCACCGCGCCTGGCCAGAACAATGATGTTAATAGCATTTTTTTGTTTCTTCTTCCAACATTTTATGAACATTTTCAAACATACGGAACAGTCGGAAAAATGTGAACACACATATTTCCAGAGCTCCCTAGAGCCTACAATTAACATTTTACTATGCTAATTGCAGTTTGTTTTATTATTATTATTTTTGAGATGGAGTCTTGCTGTCACCTAGGCTGGAGCACAGTGGCATGATCTCGGCTCACTGCAACCTCCGCCTCCCAGGTTCAAGCGATTACCTTGCCTCAGCCTTCCAAGTACGTAGCTGGGACTACAGGCACCCGCCACCAGGCCCGGCTAATTTTTTGTATTTTTACTAGAGATGTGGTTTCACCATGTTGGCCAGGCTGGCCTCAAACTCCTGACCTCGGGTGTTCCGCCCGCCTCGGCCTCCCAAAGTGCTGGGATTACAAGCGTGAGCCACCGTGCCAGGTTTATAATAATAATAATTTTTTTTTTTTTTTTTTTTTTTTTGAGACGGAGTTTCGCTCTTGTTACCCAGGCTGGAGTGCAATGGCGCGATCTCGGCTCACCGCAACCTCCGCCTCCTGGGCTCAGGCAATTCTCCTGCCTCAGCCTCCTGAGTAGCTGGGATTACAGGCACGCACCGCCATACCCAGCTAATTTTTTGTATTTTTAGTAGAGACGGGGTTTCACCATGTTGACCAGGATGGTCTCGATCTCTCGACCTTGTGATCCACCCGCCTCGGCCTCCCAAAGTGCTGGGATTACAGGCTTGAGCCACCGCGCCCGGCCATAATAATAATAATTATTATTATTATTATTATTTTAAACAGGGAAGTTTATCCGAGGGCTGTTTTATGGATGGCTCTGCCTGAGGATATCAAAGCCGCATTTTCCCCAGGACCGAATGGGACGAAGGCATGGCCGGGAAGAGAGGAACTTAGCCTGGGAATCTGACTGGGTAGCTGGTGGGAGAACTAAAACGGGAAAAGCAAAAACAAAACTCCTGAGAAACAGGTCCCGGAGACTCCGTGGCGCTCGCTCTCTTTGTGTGGTCCCGGCCAGTTCACCGGAGAACCGGAGTCTCTTGGCCGCTTTTGGCTGAAGGTCAGGGGATCATCTTTCTCCGGCTCCCTTCCGCAGAGGGTAGGGAAAGGCAGCGATGGCGGCCTTGGCGCCCGCCCTGCGCCCAGGGACACGGACGGGAATCCCTCGAGACGCTCAGCGGGGACTGCCAGGAGGGTCCTGCGTTCTGCAGCTTGACAACCACCTCCTCCGGGTTCGGCAGCCCGGGGCCGCGGCGCGGGGTGCGTCCTGCGGCAGCTGCAAGGCCCCGTCCCACCCGCGGTCCCCGCGACTCCGGCTGCCGTCCCGGACGGAGTGGACTCGGGGAGGGCCCAGCCTCCGCGCTCCGCCCCTGGCCCGGCGGGACCCGGCTCGGCGCGCCCTCGGCAGAAAGCCCTCCTCCCCGGCCAAGGTAGAGGAAGTTGGGCTCCCGCCTGGCTGGGAGGCGGAGGGAGGGAGGGAGCTCCTGTTGTTTTCCGCCGGCGGGAGTGGGCAGGCGGGCACAGGGGGCGGTGTGCGTCCTCCCTCCCCGGCTAGGGCGCTGGGGAGCGGGGACCCGCGCCTGCAGCCGAGCGCCGCTCCCGGCCGCGGACACCCAGCTCCGCCGAGCATCCTTCCTGGGGGCCGACAAAGTGAGGCCACTCTGCCGTTCCGAGGACCTGGGAGGAGCCCGCGGTCCCCCGGGCGTCGGGGCCCTGGGGCGCACACATCCAGCCCGAGCCTGCGTTTCCTGAGCCGGGATCTGGGGCGAGATGGCCGCAGGCGGCAGTGCGCCTGAGCCCCGCGTCCTCATCTGCCTCGGGGCGCTCCTGGCCGGCTGGGTAGCCGTAGGTAAGGGGCCGCGATCTGGAGGAAAAAGTTGAGTTTTCCTAGTCAGCGGTGGGGAGGGGACAGAGAGGGACCGAATTCCCTCGGACTCCGCCCGGATCTGCGGTGGCCGCAGCCCCGAAGCCGCCCCAGGAGGGTCTTCGTTTCCTGCTCGCAGCTCCGCCGTCTTTGCAGGAAGGAATTTTCCCGGGCAGCCGGTGCGGGTCGAGATACCTCCAGCCTTCTGGGGCGGGCAGCCGGAGAGGCTGCGGAGGACCCGAGCCGAGGTGCAGGGGAAAATAAAGAGGCACGTGTGCCGGGAAATTGATTTTTTTTTTTAAAGCGTCGGATGTAAATTCGCGTTCTGGTTTTATTAATACCTGATAAGCTGGTGCTCAGACTCGAGACTCCCACTTTATTCTCCCTCTGCTCAAGGTTGAACTCGCCTTACACCTGTAACCGGTGGACTTCCCTACACACCTTTGCAAGCCTTCCTGTGCTGACCACCGCATTCAAAGCGGGGTCTTCCGCCTTTTCTTTTGGAAAAGCTTTTTATTTTGAAATACTTGGCTGACTTACAAAAGACTTCCCCTCACACTTGATATGATTGAGAAAAGGTCTGAAATGCTTCATCTGTAGTCTGCTTTGCAACGAAAAAAGGATTGGGAGGGTGCTTACAAGAATATGTAGAATGTAAAAAGACTGGAAAAATATACATATTTGAATGTATTGCACCAGCGAATGCATGCCTACTGTGTGCTGGGAGTGTGACAAGCTGGGAGGAGGCTGGGGTGCAGGGAGAGGAGGTGGAGCCAGGAGGCGGTGAAGTGTGCCAGGATGCAGGCTGAGCGCTACGCTACTTTTTGTGTTCCCGGGTCGGCTTCACCCAACTGATCTCTTGCAGATTTCTGCAGATAGGTTGTAAGTTACGCTGGAGCTTCCTAGCAGCAAGTGCCAAAAGTTCCTAATTGTCAGACTCATTCTGTTTTGTTTTATTTTTTTGACCAACCATTTAAAAACAATAACATTTCTTATAACCTAGATTTCCAGTTTATCTGGAAAAATCCGAAGGTCTGGCAACACGCGGCCTGCTTTCCCAGTTGGATCTGGACAGTGGTCATCCTCTTATCTACGGCACATGTGACCCCAAATTTGTTCCACGTTTTCCTATTGTAATATTTGCCCCGCCTTCTTTAGTCATGGGCGTTACCTGCTGACCCTCCAGGCATTTGGCTGAGTAATCACTGTGCTGGGAGCGGGTGTGTGCTTGGGGCGGGGAGCAGTACAGTTCCCAGTTGGTCATCTCTGGATGTTAAAGGTGATGGTCAAGTATTCCCACCTCCCCAGCCGTCTGCAGTGTTTCCTGCTCGATGAACCCCCAAGGACCTGGGAAATCAAAAGAACCCTGGGATGAAGTCATGCTGCTGGAATGACCTTGCTTTCGGGCTGACCGCCTCCTGCCCCATGGGAAACCTATCTCCACTGGCATACCCAGCTATTTTTTTCCGAGCCAGGCTCTTGCTCTGTTGCCCAGGCTGGAGTGCAGTGGCGCGATCACTGCAGCGATCCTTCCACCTCGGCCTGCAAGTGCTGGGACTACAGGCGTGTGCCACCACGCCTAGTTAATTTCTATTTTTTTTAATTCTGAGAGGGAGTCTTGCTCTTGTTGCCCAGTCTGGAGTGCAATGGTGCGATCTTGGCTCACCAAAACCTCCACCTCCTCGGTTCAAGCGATTCTCCTGCCTCAGCCTCCTGAATAGCTGGGATTACAGGCATGTGCCACCATGCCAGGCTAATTTTGTATTTTTAGTAGAGACAGGGTTTCTCCATGTTGATCTCAAGGCGTTTCTCCAGGTTGGTCTCAAGCTCCGGGACTCAAGCGATCCTCCTGTTTTGGCCTCGAAAAGTGTTGGGATTATGGGCGTGAGCCATCGTTCCGCACCTTTGCCCAGCTATTTTGTTTTATTTTTTTACTTTTATTTATTTATTTATTTATTTATTTATATTTATTTATTTTGAGACAGAGTCTCACTCTGTCACCAGGCACTAGGCTGGAGTGCAGTGGCACAATCTTGGCTCACTGCAACCTCTGCCTCCTGGGTTCAAGCAATTCTCTTGCCTCAGCCTTCCAAGTAGCTGGGACTACAGGCGGACGCCGCCACGCCCACCTAATTTTTTGTATTTTTAGTAGAGACGGGGTTTTATCATGTTGGCCGGGATGGTCTCGATCTCTTGACCTTGTGATCGCCCGCCTTGGCCTCCCAAAGTGCTGGGATTACAGGCTTGAGCCACTGCGCCCGGCTTGCCCAGCTATTTTTTTTTTTTTTTTTTTTTCGAGATGGAGTTTCACTCTTGTTACCCAAGCTGGAGTGCAATGGCACGATCTCGGCTCACCGCAACCTCCGCCTCCTGGGTTCAGGCAATTCTCCTGCCTCAGCCTCCTGAGTAGCTGGGATTACAGGCACGCGCCACCATGCCCAGCTAATTTTTGTATTTTTAGTAGAGACGGGGTTTCACCATGTTGACCAGGATGGTCTCGATCTCTCGACCTCGTGATCCACCCGCCTCGGCCTCCCAAAGTGCTGGGATTACAGGCTTGAGCCACCGCGCCCGGCCTTGCCCAGCTATTTTGATGTCCAGACCTGCTTCACCTGCTCCACCTCAGGGGACTTCCTGAGCTTGGTGTATTTTCATTATGTGTGTGTGTGTGTGTGTGTGTGTGTGTGTTTGTGTGTGTTTTAAAAGACGGGGTTTCACCATGTTGGCCAGGCTGGTCTTGAACTCCCAACCTCAGGTGATCTGCCTGCCTTGGCCTCCAAAGTGCTTGGATTATAGGCGTGAGCCACCACTCCTGGCCTGTTGAGTGTTTTTTAAGTTGGGCATTGTTTCGGGGAAAAAAAAAATTGTCTTTCTCCTGACATTCAATGTCAGACAACTTACATGCATCCACTAGCTACCCTGGATGGTAAACCCTAGGTTATTCTTGGGAAAAGTTGCTACATAAATAAATGTTTGGATATAACTCTCACTTTGTAAATAATAATACACGGGCAGCGTCAGGGATTTTATGTTACTCCCTCCTCTGCTCCCTATTATACATTTAAGTTTGGGGAGGCAACAGGGACCCTCTGGACACCATATGAATGAATGACGTCTAAAATTGTTACTGTATTTTATCATTGCATGCTGTCTGGTGCAGGAGACCAGAGTAAAGTGACCTGAATGACAATCACACATCTCCCAGTGATTTTCTTGGGACTTTAAAGTGAATAACTTAATCTTCCTAAATCTCAATTTTCTCAATAGTAAAGTGAGGAAGTACAGGACTGCCAGTCAAGAAGTACCCCTTCCGTGTCCATGTCAGACATCACTAATCGATGACTGCGTTCTTTTCCACTGAGCCAGGACTCCGTCTCATCTTCAGCCCAACCCTCAGGGCAGCCACATTTCTGGACTAGATGCTCTCTAAGGGCACCTTCAAATACAGTGGTTTAAAAAAGAATGGAGTAAGCCAAGCCAGGAGAAGTGAAATGCCTTCAAATGGTTTCTTTTGTGATCATGTCATTCTATGCCTTGGAGGAGAAGACAATGTTAGCTCAAGTTCCAAGACTAAGCTTTCGCTAGGGCTTTTTTCCAAGCCACTGTTCCTTTATTTCTTTGCCAAGGAGTTAGGCAAGGGGCAGCTCTGCAGGTCGTATGAACACATGTTGCATCTGTAACTCTAAAGTTCACCTTTCTTTCCTATGTGGGGGTTGCCCCTGGAGAATTTGGGTTCCCAGTCTTAATAATTTCTTGGCCAGGAAGGGTGGCTCTCGCCTATAATCCCAGCACTTTGGGAGGCCGAGGCGGGTGGGTCACCCAAGACCAGCCTGGCTAATGTGGTGAAACCCTGTCTCTACAAAAATACAACAAATTAGCGAGGCACGATGGCGGGTGCCTGTAATCCCAGCTACTCAGGAAGCTGAGGTTGGAGAATCGCTTGAACCCGGAAGGCAGAGATTGCAGTGAGCTGAGACTGCACCATTGCACTCCAGCCTGGGCAACAGAGCAAGGCTCCATCTAAAAAAAAAATAATAATAAATAGAATTCTCACCTGCTTTTTTTTTTTTTTTTCTTGAGATGGAGTCTTGTTCTGTTGCCCAGGCTGGAATGCAATGGCATGATCTCAACTCACTGCAACCTCCGCCTCCCGGGTTCAAACAGTTCTCCTGCCTCAACCTCCCAAGTAGCTGGGATTACAGGCGTACACCAGCATGCTCAGCTAATTTTTTATTTTTATTTTTTTTTGACACAGAGTTTCCCGAGTTTCCCTCTTGTTGCCCAAGCTGGAGTGCAATGGCACAATCTCAGCTCACTGCAACTTCTGCCTCCCAGCTTCAAGAGATTCTCCTGCCTCAGCATCCCAAGTAGCTGGGATTACAGGTGCACGCCATCACACCCAGCTAATTTTTTGTATTTTTAGTAGAAACAGGGTTTCACCATGTTAGCCAGGCTTGTCTCAAATTCCTGACCTCAGGTGATTTGCCTGCCTCAGCCTCCCAAAGTGCTGGGATTACAGGCATGAGCCACCACGCTATTCAGCTAATTTTGTTTGTTTTTTTTTTTTTTGAGACGGAGTTTCGCTCTTGTTACCCAGGCTGGAGTGCAATGACACGATCTCGGCTCACCGCAACCTCTGCCTCCTAGGTTCAGGTAATTCTCCTGTCTCAGCCTCCTGAGTAGCTGGGATTACAGGCACGCGCCACCATGCCCAGCTAATTTTTTGTATTTTTAGTAGAGACGGGGTTTTACCTTGTTGACCAAGATGGTCTCGATCTCTTGACCTTGTGATCCACCCGCCTCGACCTCCCAAAGTGCTGGGTTTACAGGCTTGAGCCACCGCGCCCGGCCTAATTTTGTATTTTTAGTAGAGATGAGGGTTCACCATGTTGACCAGGCTGGTCTTGAACTCCTGACCTCAAGTGATCCACCTGCTTGGCCTCCCAAAGTGTTGGGAATACAGGTGTCAACCATTGTGCCCGGCCCTCACCTGCTTTTTAAAGTGATTGTTCAGAAGCATTTCTTGCTATTTTGGAATCTCTATCATTAGGTGACATTCTCCACCTTTCAGCAAGCGCTTAGTTATTAAAATTTAGTTGGTGGTGGTGGTGGTGGTTTTTTTTTGTTTTTTTTTGTTTTTTTGGTTATTTCCATCCTGACTTGGCTCAAAAGTCTTTTGGGTATGTGTGGCCAAAATGGTGAGAGAATCAGGACTTCCTGGGTCTCTGACTTCAGATTTTTCAAAGGGAGCCCCTTCTAACAAGACAAGAGGCCAAATACAGATATTGATTACTCTTTCATTTAAATAGGAGGGATTGCCAGAGGCAGGTGGCAGTTTTTCTATAACAGCTTTATTGAGATATAATTTACATGCCACAAAATTCATCCTTTTTTTTTTCTGTCTCCCAGACAGGAGTGCAGTGGTGCAAACTTGGCTCACTGCAACTTCTACCTCCCAGGCTCAAGTGATTCTCTTGTTTCAGCCTCCTGAGTAGCTGCGATTACCAGCGTGCACCACTACTGTCCAGCTAATTTTTGTATTTTTAGTAGAGATGGGGTTTCACCATGTTGGCCAGGCTGATCTTGAACTCCCGATCTCAAATGATTCACCCACCTTGGCCTTCCAAAGTGCTGGGATTACAGGTATAAGCCACCTGTGCCCAGCCAAAATTCACCCTTTTAAAGTGCACGACTCTGGATTTTAGTGTATTCCAACATTCTACAACCATTGCCACTAATTGATCATTTTCATCACCCCAACAGGTTCTGCCCATCTTCCTATTCTTGCCACCTCTTTGTATTTGGGTCTTGATTGTGGAGGGGGGCCGGGCAATTGTGAAACTTCTCAGCAAAATGGGCTGCATTTGCTTCTTTTTACCTAGTGACAGTCTAATGCCCGTTAACACCTGTCAGTCTTTTTTTTGAGACAGGGTCAGCTGGGCGCGTTGGCTCACACCTGTAAACTCAGCCCTTTGGGAGCCCAAGGTGGGTCCGAGTGGAATGTGAGTTCAAGAGCAGCCTGCGCAACATAGAGAGACCACCGCCCCCATCTCTAAAAAAAAAAAAATTATTTACATTAAACAAACAAAAAAAGAGGCAGGGTATCTCTGTTGGCCCGGCTGGAATACAGTGTCACGATCGTGGCTCACTGCAGCTTCAACCTCCTGGATTCAAGTGATCCTCCCACCTCAGCCTCCCAAAGCCCTGGGATTACAGGCCTCAGCCACCATGCCCAGACACCTGTCGGTCTTGAACGGGTGTCAGAATCACTTGGAGGGCTTGCTAAGACACAGATGCTGGGCCGGGTATAGTGGATCACTCCTGTAATCCCAGCACTTTGGGAGGCTGAGGTCAGAGGATTGCTTGAAGTCAGGAGTTTGAGACTGGCAGGGCAACAGAGTGAGATCCACCCCGTATCTCTTTTTTTTTTTTTTTTTTTTTTGAGACGGAGTTTCACTCTTGTTGCCCAGGCTGGAGTGCAATGGCGCGATCTCGGCTCACCGCAACCTCCGCCTCCTGGGTTCAGGCAATTCTCCTGCCTCAGCCTCCTGAGTAGCTGGGATTACAGGCACACGCCACCATGCCCAGCTAATTTCTAGTATTTTTAGTAGAGACGGGGTTTCACCATGTTGACCAGGATGGTCTCGATCTCTTGACCTCGTGATCCACCCGCCTCGGCCTCCCAAAGTGCTGGGATTACAGGCTTGAGCCACCGCGCCCGGCCCACCCCGTATCTCTTAAAAAAAAAAAAAAAAAAAAAAGTTAAATAATTGCTCATTTGTTAAAAATAAATAAACAAAACACAGAGGGCTGCTGCTCTCCCGCAGTTTCTGGTTGAGGTGTGTTTTGGGGTGAGGCTTGATCATTTGTACTGCTAACATGCTGTGGCTGCCGACCTGGGCTTTCGAACATGCTGTTTGTTCCCTCTGCCTGGGAACCCATCCTCACCTTTCCTTGGCTGATTCCTACTTGTCCATCAGATCTCCGTGTGGCTTCCTGGAGGAAGTGTTTCCTGACATTTGCCCTAGTTGGACTTAGGAGCCCTTTCTCAGAGGCCTTATCTTGCTGTTTATCACACTGCGTTGTAAATGCCAGTTTATTGTCTCTTTTCTCCACTAGACTGTGAACTCTTGGAGGTTTCTGTGTGTTGTGTCCACCATGGGATTCCCCGTGCGTTGCCCAAAGTGGGTGCACAGTCCCTACTGCCAGCCCATTCTTGCATGGAGCTTCTGAGAAAACTTGAACTCGAGGGCCATTTGAACCTGAGCCACTTGCACCCTGAGATGGAGAGAGGGAGGGAGGCAGAGAGAGCAGCGGGACAGTGGGAACAAAGCCAAAGCCCTCTTCTCTCCACCCCTTCTTGATTTCTAGGCAAATAAAGCCACTTGGGTTCTATGTCAGTTCTTTATCGCCACAGTAATGCTGTGTAACAAACAGCCCCCAAATGGCAGTAGTGCTTATTATCCAGAGGCCTGGGCAGTTGGCTAGGTGGCTCTGCTGATCTGCCTGGGGACTGATGACTAGCTGAAGGCTGATCTAGAATGGGCCACGCTGGAGCCACTGAGACAACTTGGGTCTGCACCATGTAGTTTCTTTGTTTGTTTGTTTATTCTTTGAGACGGAGTTTTGCTCTTGTCGCCCAGGCTGGAGTGCAGTGGCACAATCTTGCCTCACTGCAACCTCTGTCTCCTGGGTTCAAGCGATTTTCCTGCCTCAGCCTCCCGAGTAGCTGGGATTACAGGTGCCTACCAGCGTGCCCAGCTAATTTTTTGTATTTTTAGTAGAGATGGGGTTTCACCATGTTAGCCAGGCTGGTCTCAAACTCTTGACCTCAAGTGATCCACCCGCCTCGGCCTCCCAAAGTGCTGGGATTATAGGCCTGAGCCACCTCGCCCAGCTGCTCTGTATGTGTTACTGCATCTTAAGAACACATACCTTGGCCGGGCGCGGTGGCTCAAGCCTGTAATCCCAGCACTTTGGGAGGCCGAGGCGGGTGGATCACGAGGTCGAGAGATCGAGACCATCCTGGTCAACATGGTGAAACCCCGTCTCTACTAAAAATACAAAACATTAGCTGGGCATGGTGGCTCGTGCCTGTAATCCCAGCTACTCAGGAGGCTGAGGCAGGAGAATTGCCTGAACCCAGGAGACGGAGGTTGCGGTGAGCCAAGATCACGCCATTGCACTGCAGCCTGGGTAACAAGAGCGAAACTCCGTCTCAAAAAAAAAGAACACATACCTGACTTTTAAAAAATCCTAATATAGGAAGACTGTCCAAAAAGGGAGGTTGTTTGGAAATCAAGAAAGGTAGTAACAGCCTGATCTCCCCTTGTACAGGATTCGAGGCTGTTGTCATTGGAGAAGTTCATGACAATGTTACTCTGCACTGTGGCAACATCTCTGGACCGAGGGGCCTGGTGACCTGGTACCGGAACGACTCGGAGCCTGTCTTTCTTCTCTCGTCCAACTCTAGCCTCCCGCCAGCTGAGCCTCGCTTCTCTCTAGTGAATGCCAGCTCCCTGCACATCGAAGCACTGAGACTGCAAGATGAGGGGAACTATACCTGCCGGGAGATCCTGAACGTGACTCAGTGGTTCCAAGTGTGGCTGCAGGTGGCCAGTAAGTGAGGCTAGCAGGGAATGGGGCTGGAGAGGTGCTCAGAGCCTTGGGATGGAGGAAGTCATGGTCAGGAATATGGATTATGGGTTCGGATGGCCTGGAATTCATTCTGGGCCCTGCCACTTACAAGCTAAGGGACCTCTCACACCTCTATTTCCTCACCTGTTAAATGAGGATAAAAATAATTCCTGCAGCTGGGTGCGGTGGCTCATGCCTGTAATCCTAGCACTTTGGGAGGCCGAGGCAGGCGCATCACTTGAGATCAGGAGTTCGAGACCAGCCTAGCTAACATGGTGAAACCCGTTTCTACTAAAAATACAAAAATTAGCTAGGTATGGTGGCACATGCCCGTAATCCCTGCTACTTGGGAGGCTGAGGCAGGAGAATCGCTTGAGCCTGGGAGGCAGAGGTTGTGGTGAGCCAAGATCGCATCACTGCACTCCAGCCTGGGCGACAGAGTGAGACTTCATCTCAAAAAAAAAAAAAAAAAAAAAAATTACTGCTTCTTAGAGTTGCTGTGAAGAATAGATACTAGTTTATAAAGTGCTTTAGGCCAGGCGCACTGGCTCATGCCTGTAATCCCAACACTTTGGGAAGCCAAGTGGGCAGAGCACCTGAGGTCAGGAGTTAGAGACTAGCCTGACCAACAGTAGTGAAACCCCGTCTCTACTAAAAATACAAAAATTAGCCAGTTGTAGTGGCAGGTGCCTGTAATCCCAGCTGCTCAGAGGCTGAGGCAAGAGAATTGCTTAATCCCTGGGTGGTGGAGGTTGCAGTGAGCCGAGATCGTGGCATTGCACTCCAGCCTGGGTGACAGAACTAGACTTGTCTCAAAAAAAGAAAAATAAATAGCCGGGCGCGGTGGCTCAAGCCTGTAATCCCAGCACTTTGGGAGGCCGAGGCGGGTGGATCATGAGGTCGCGAGATCGAGACCATCCTGGTCAACATGGTGAAACCCCGTCTCTACTAAAAGTACAAAAAACTAGCTGGGCGTGGTGGTGCGTGCCTGTAATCCCAGCTACTTAGGAGGCTGAGGCAGGAGAATTGCCTGAGCCCAGGAGGCGGAGGTTGCGGTGAGCCGAGATCGCGTGCCATTGCACTCCAGCCTGGGTAACAAGAGCGAAACTCCGTCTCAAAAAAAAAAAGAAAAATAAATAAAAAAAAGTGCTTTAAATGGCTCCTGGCATATTAATGAGCTTTTATTTTTAGCTTGTTGTTAATATCATCCTAGCTATTAATATCATCTTATTAGGTAACCAAGTTACAGTATATCATAATCAAAGCCAGGTGCAGCTGTGTGGGACTGTAGTCCCAGCTACTCAGGAGGCAGAGGTGGGAGGATTGCTTGAGTCCAGGAGTTCCAGGCTGCAATGCACCATAATTGCACCTATGAATAGCCACTGCACTCTAGCCTGGGCAACATAGGGAGACCCTGCCTCTAAAAAAAAAATATAGAGTCAAGTTAGACGCCTGAATTCCAGTCTAAAGGCTGTCACTGAGTTCTGTGTCACTTTGAGTCAATGGCTTAAGATCTCTGAGCTCCGGTTTTTCTCATTTGTTTAATACATTGCCTGCTTTGTCAGGTGTAGTGAGCATTCTTTTTTTTTTTTTTTTTGAGACGGAGTCTCACTCTGTTGCCTAGGCTGGAATGCAGTGGTGTGATATCGGCTCACTGCAACCTCTGCCTCCCGGGTTCCAGTGATTCTCTTACCTCAGCCTCCCGAGGAGCTGGGATTACAGGCATCTGACACCAAGCCTGGCTAATTTTTGCATTTTTTTTTTTTTTTTTTTTTGAGACGGAGTTTCGCTCTTGTTACCCAGGCTGGAGTGCAATGGCGCGATCTCGGCTCACCGCAACCTCCGCCTCCTGGGTTCAAGCAATTCTCCTGCCCCAGCCTCCTGAGTAGCTGGGATTACAGGCACGCACCACCATGCCCAGCTAATTTTTTGTATTTTTAGTAGAGACGGGGTTTCACCATGTTGACCAGGATGGTCTCGATCTCTCGACCTTGTGATCCACCCGCCTCGGCCTCCCAAAGTGCTGGGATTACAGGCTTGAGCCACCGCGCCCGGCAATTTTTGCATTCTTAGTAGAGATAGGGTTTTACCATGTTGGCCAGGCTGGTCTTGAACTCCTAACTTCAGGAGATCTGCCCACTTCGGCCCCCAAAGTGCTGGGATTAGAGGCGTGAGCCACCGTGCTTGGCCGTGAGCACTGTTACACTACGGTGCTAACTACAGGGCTTGGCATGAGCCACCCTTCCTACTGTGCTTTCCTAAAACAGCCTATCGTATCTGCTGGTACACGCATATGAATTAGAGCAGGCTGGGTGCCGTGGCTCATGCCTGTAATCCCAGCACTTTGGGAGGCCGAGGTGGGTGGATCACGAGGTCAAGAGATCGAGACCATCCTGGTCAACATGGTGAAACCCCGTCTCTACTAAAAATACAAAAATTAGCTGGGCATGGTGGCACGTGCCTGTAATCCCAGCTACTCAGGAGGCTGAGGCAGGAGAATTGCCTGAACCCAGGAGGCGGAGGTTGCGGTGAGCCGAGATCACGCCATTGCACTCCAGCCTGGGTAACAAGATCGAAACTCCTTCTCAAAAAAAAAAAAAAAATTTAGAGTGGGAGTTTGCAAACTACAGCCTGCTGTATGGCCTGCAGACTATGAATATTTTTTATATTTTTAAATGGTTGAAAAAAAATCAAAGGATATTTGTGACATGAAAACCATGTAAAAGCCAGGTGCAATGGCTCATGTCTGTAATCCCAGCACTTTGGGAGGTTGAGGCGGGTAGATGACTTGAGCCCAGGAGTTTGAGACCAGCCCTGGTGACATAACGAGACCCCGTTTCTACAAAAAGTAAAAAAATTAGCTGGGTGTGATGATGCATGCCTGTAGTTCTAGCTACTCAGGAGGCTGAGGTGGGAGGATTGCTTGAGCCCAGGGAGGTCGAGGCTGCAGTGAGCTGTGATTGCACCACTGCATTCCGGCCTGGCTGACAGAGCAAGACCCTGTCTCAAGAAAAAAAAAAAAAAAAAAAGAAAGGAAATCATACGAAATTCAAATGTTGGTGTTTGTTAATAAAGTTTTACTGGAATATAGCCATATTGATTCATTTACATATTACCTCGACCTTTGTTACTAACAATGGCAGAGGTGAGTGGCTGTAACATAGATCATATGGGCTGCAGAGCCAAAGATATTTGCTCTCTGGCCCCTTACAGAGAGAGTTTGCTTGTCACTGGTTTAGAAGCACATCCATGCGCTATATTTGGGGTATGTAGTTTAGTAGACAGACCCATGGGAGGACAGGTACAGTGGCTCATGCCTGTAATCAGAGCATTTGGGGAGACTGAGGTGGGATGATTGTTTGAGCACAGAAGTCTGAGACCAGCCTGGGCAATATAGTGAAACCCCATCTCTACAAAAAGTTTAAAAAATAATAATTAGCTGGGCATGGTGGCATGCACCTGTAGTCCTAGCTATTTAGGAGGCTGAGTGGGGAGGATCACTTGAGCCTGGGAGACCGAGGTTGCAGGGATCCAAGATGGTGCCATTGTAGTCCATCTTGGGCTACAGAGTCAGATCCTGCCTCTAAATAAAAATAAAAATAATAGGCCGGGTGCGATGGCTCACACCTATAATTCTAGTATTTTGGGAGTCCAAGGTGGGTGGATCATGTGATGTCAGGAGTTCGAGACCAGCCTGGCTAACATGGTGAAACCCCGTTTCTACTAAAAATACAAAAAATTAGCCGGGTATGGTGGCGCGTGCCAGTAATTCCAGCCATTCGGGAGCCTGAGGCAGGAGAATTGCTTGAACCTGGGAGGCAGAGGTTGCAGTGAGCCAAGGTCACGCCATTGCACTCCAGCCTGGGCAACAAAAGTGAAACTCTGTTTCAAAAAAAAAAAAAAAAAGAAAGAAAGGAAAGAAATAGCCATGTGATCACTTCACTGTTCTGGATCCAAGATTCCTCATCTGTAAAATAAAGAGCTTCCTGATTCCTTTACTCGCATAGATTCGTTGAGGGCTTGATGCCAGACACTGTTCTAGGCACTGGGGCACAGATGTGAAGAAGACAGACAAGGTCTTTGCCCTTGAGGAGTGAGCAGCCTACTGGGGTAGACAGATGAGAAACAAGTTAATGTGATTTTTCTGAAACATTTTAAATTGGGAGGTCAGGCAGGAGTTTTTGGAAGTAATGACTTTTTATTTGTTTGTTTTTGAGACAGAGTTCTTCCTCTGTTGCCCAGGCTAAGAGCATAGTGATACCCTGTTGGCTCACTGCAACCTCTGCCTCCTGGGTTCAAACAATTTTCATGCCTTGGCCACCTGAGTAGCTGGGATTACAGATGTTTGCCACCAGCCTGGCTAATTTTTGTACAGATCGGGTTTCTCTCTGTTGACCAGGTTGGTCTTGAACTCCTGACCTCAAGTGATCCACCCACCTCGGCCCCCCAAAAATGCTGGGATTACAGACATCAACCACTTCATCTAGCCTGGAAGTAGTGACTCTTTTATTATTATTATTATTATTATTATTTTTCCTCCTCCCTCCCCTCCTCGTGCCGCAAGTAGTGACTCTTAAACTGACTGGTAAATAGGGCTGGGCACAGGGCTCATGCCTGTAATCCCGCATTTTGAGGGGCTGAGATGGGAGGATTACTTGAGCCCAGGAGATCAAAGCTGTAGTAAGCCATCAGCGTGCCACTGCACTTCATCCTGGGTGACAGAGAGAAACCCTGTCTCTGAAAAACAAAACTGGGAGAGAGCTTTCCAGGTAGAACAAGACAGGTTGAGCTGAGCATGGTGCATTATGTGTGAATTACGGGAGGCCGGGGCAGACTACTCCAGGGCTGAGTGGGACCTGTGCTGTGGGTTGAATTATGTCCCTGAAAAGATACGTTGAAGTCCTAACCTTTGGTACCTACCAATGTGAGCTTCTTTGGAAATAGGGTGTCTTTGCAGATATAATCAAATTAAGAGGAGGTCA